TTATCCATATATGTCAACGGCAACACAGTTAAAACGGGGTAACAAACTTTTATGTTAGCGTAATTATATATAGATATATATAATAAAATATAATCTGACATAGTTACAAAAGGTTGAATTAAATATAATTTTTTTTTAAAAAAATAATATAATAGGATTGTATTAACATTATGCATGAAAGTATATTTTTAAATTTCGTACAATTTTTCATAACTTATAATCTATGTTCACTCCTGAACATCCTGCCGGCGGGTAGAAATTGCAATAGCTAGTAGTTGTCTTCGTCTTATTGTTGCTCGAACTAGGTAGATTATTATTGCTATTATCACTATTGAAGTTAACCCAAGTGCTGCGTGCCCAGATACGTGATGAAAATGCAAATCTTTTAGCTTCACTGCGTTATATCGTTTAGTTGTTTATTTATTTGATTAATTTCTTCTTTGTTATTTATTTTCCAATGGTGCCAGGGTTTTATATTACTATTATTTATTATAATTGCATCTTTAGTAACTGGCTTGATTACTTCTACTATCGTGGAGCTTTGCAGATTACTAGAGGATGTTAATGTTGTTTCTCTTATACGTGCCATACATCCTTCTGTTAGTGATAGAATGCCTTGACCTGATAGAGTTATTATTTCTTCCATTGAATTTGAGCATCTAATGTGGGCAGATTCTTGTCTAAAAGTTTTGAATATCCAACTATTCTGTCGGTATAATTTGACCCAAATGGAAGAATTATTTACTTCTTCGTAGTGACAATTATTTTGATTAGTTGGTTTTAGTGGTGATATTTCACAAGAATTATCGTTTGCATCCTTCCACAGAAAATTACCTTCACAAGTAAATTGTTGTTCTTCTATCTTGTTACATTGACTCCATGTCAGAGGATCCATCAATTGATATGCATTTATTTCGAGATTATATAGTAAAAATGATGACATAACTTTCGGAATTATATATTTTACACCTTGATTGATTGATATAGGTATTATTTTATATATACTAGATGATTGCTTGCTGAAAAGTGGAATTTTTGCGTTAATTACTGATTTGTTTCCAATAAATAGCCCTTTTGCTTTTAATAACTTGTATATGGATTCTAACTCCGTTCCAGTTTTTTTACCAGGTAGCATTTGATTTTCGGGAATTATATCTCTTATTTTTATTATTTCGCGATGTAACTGTGATGGTTTTATAAGTGCTGGATTTAATTTTCCATGGTTAACGTCCATTAAGAGTTCCATTACTTCAGATTGAATTTGAGAACATTCTTCTATCATATTTGATAACTGTCTTGCTACCATAAAAAAATTTATTGATTCCTTATAAACAAGATAAGTTTCATTCAAAGCAGTGTTTATGGATTCAACTCTTTTATGAATTTCATTGTATTGTTGCTGAATTTCTTCAGATGTGCGTTTTAATATATTTACTGTTGTTTCTACTACCGATGTTTGTCTTTCAGTCATCTTTTTTAAATTATGTTGATTTTCTAGAAGATTATTCATATCTTCTTCTAAAGCTTTTCGGTCATCTTCATCCATCATTCCGAATAGGAGGTGATAAAATGAACCAACGAATGCCAACGGCGCTCTTTTTCTCCTCTCTCGTACATACCATATAAATAACTTATTACCATCGTTTATATCTGATAATTTTTTCAGCATTGTATTTAATATATTCTTACATTGGTCAGCAAAATTTAGTAATTTGGGACATATATTATTAGCTTTGCTAAGAATATCCTCTGCGTTTTTAGCCATATCAAAGTATGGTTGCATATCATAATATATTATTAGATTCCAAGATGATGTTTCTGAAGTGACTTCTCCAATCATGTCCAAATATAACGTTGTTTTATTATTTAGTTCATGTACTGACGCAACTGATGATTTTACCACTGCTTTTACTGTTGGTAAAACACATAACATTAAAAAATACAAGGTGGTCCATGCTAGCTTTTTGGTTCTTAATTTTACGTTTGATTTTATGTTTAAGTTGCAATAAGCTTCGTCTGTTTTCGCCTGGTTCTTATCATAGATTGTGTCAGAATCCATCAAGCAGCAAGTTTGTGAATTGGTCTTTTTAATTTTCCATTTTTAGTTTTAAGCTCTACTACTCTTACTTTTCCATCCTTACCTTTAAATACTTCTGTAATTTTTCCTAATGGCCATCTAGTAGGCGCGGTATTTTCGTCTTTAATAAATACTACTTGCCCCTCTGCTAAGTTCGGTTTTTCTCTAAACCATTTGTTTCGTTTTTGTAGAGACGTGACATATTCATTTTTCCATTTTTTCCAAAAATCTGTTTTAATTTTTTGTACAAGTTTCCAACGGTCTATTAAACTTATATTATTTTTGACTTCAGTTTCTGGTTCGTCTAATATTGGACGACCTATTAAGAAATGTCCAGGTGTAAGAACATCAATACTGTCTATATCGCTACTTGTATAGCAAAGTGGTCGTGAATTGAGTACTGCTTCAATTTGATTTAGAAGTGTAGTCATCTCTTCAAATGTTAGTTTTGTTTCACCTATTACGCGCTTCAAATGATATTTTACGGATTTTACAGCAGCTTCCCATATACCGCCAAAATACGGACTTGCCGGAGGAATAAAATGCCATTCAATTTTTTCTGCTGCAAGAATTGGTACCATCGATGTATTATTTTTGATCGCATTTCCAAACTCTTTATCTAATTTTTTTAATGCGCCAATAAAATTAGTGCCATTATCTGAATATAAATGTGCACTCTTCCCACGCCTTGAAAAGAACCTTTTTAATGCAGCTATAAATGCTTCTGATGATAAGTCGCTTACTGCCTCTAAATGAATTGCTTTTGTGCACATGCATACAAATACTGCGATGTAACCTTTGAATGATTTTTGGCCGCGACCTTTAGAATACCTCATGTATATGGGTCCTGCGTAATCAATACCTGTGTGTTCGAATGGGTGAGATATGTTTATTCTGTAACTAGGTATATACCCCATTATTTGTTTAGCAAAATTTTGATTGAATCGAATGCATCTTATACACTTGTGGCATATCTTTTTTATAGTTTTCCTCATCCCTAATATCCAAAATCGTCGTTTTATATGTGCTTTCATCGATGATTGCCCACCATGTAGTGTTGATTGATGTGGTTGATATATTACTAATTCTGAATATCGATCTTTAGCTAGAATCACTGGATGTATTTGATTATATGTAATGTTCGCGTTTTGTAGTCTTCCTCCTACTCTTAATATTCCATTTTTATCTATAAATGGTCGTAATTGAATAGCAAATTCATATTTATTTCCTTCCCTTGTTTAATGCTTGATATTTCTGAAGAAAAATGTGTAAGTTAGTGCTGACGAATTATTTTATTTCTTGCTTTATCTAGTTCTTCCTTTGATAAATGATTTGAATTTTTTGATTTATTTTTCAAACAGTTAATAAATCGTAAAACATATGCCACGGTTCTTTCTAGTTTTGATAATTTTGATATTTTTTCTATCAAATCGCTCAAAAAATTATTATCTGAAATTAAAGTCGTGATAACTGTTGACATTCCATTTAATTTTTCATCATTTGGCCATTCTTCCTTTGGTTTTACTAACCATGCAGGCCCATGCCACCATAGCATGTAATCTTTTAATTTGTTTGCACAGATGCCTCTAGATGCTACATCAGCTGGATTATCTTTTGATCTTATATGACGCCATTCAGTTTCTGGAATTAAATTTTTAATTTCTGTTGCACGAGTTCTTACAAACTTCTCTTTGTTTTTTGGTTCTTTTAGCCACCATAACGTGATTGCAGAATCGCTCCAACAATAAGTTTTTGGATTTGTATTTAAAATTTTAATTATTTTACTCATTAGTTTTGCTAATAAGTGAGCTCCACATAGTTCTAGCTTGGGAATAGTCTTCTTGTTTTTTATTGGTGCTACTTTGCTCTTTGCAGTCAATAGGTTTATATGTAAACCGATTTTGATGTATATTACCGCTGCATAAGCGGCTTCAGATGCATCCGAGAATCCATGTAACTCCCAATTATCTGAACTCGAGACTCCCATCCATCTTGGAATTCGAATTTGCTCCACTGTTTGCATATTTTTATTATATTCTTTGAATTCATTATGAATTTGCTCATTTAAGTTTTCATCCCAATCATATTTTAATTGCCAAAGTTTTTGAATAAATAATTTTGCGATAATTGTTATTGGTGTTAACCAACCTAATGGGTCAAACATTTTTGCGTATATTGACAATACCATTCTTTTAGTTATTTTCTCATTTGATAATATATTTATTGTGAATTGGAATTCATCCTTTTTTGGATTCCATTTCAATCCTAGTGTTTTTATTGAATTATCTTCCTCTATGCACAGTATTTTATTTTCGGCATCAATGGGAAGATTTTTCAAGATTGATTGATTATTGGACATCCATTTCCGCAATTTAAATCCAGCGCTGCTTAAACATTTGAAAATTGTATTGATTTTATTTCTACAATCTAATTTTGTATCAGCGCCAGTCAATAAGTCATCCATATAAAAATCATCTTTAATTGTATTTTTAACAAGAATGTCTCCATTATAGTCTTCAGCAATTTGTTGTAATGTGCGAACTGCTAAAAATGGGGCCGAAGCAGTTCCATAAGTAACTGTGGTTAATTTAAATTCCGCAATTCTGTCTGTTGGATTTTCTCTCCAAAGTATACGTTGATAATCTTGATGCTCTTCTGCAATTTTTATTTGTCTATACATTTTTTCCACATCTGCTGTCACCACGAATTTCCATAACCTCCATTTTATTATTATGTCAAATATGTCTTTTTATAATCGCGGTCCGGTCATCATGATATTATTAAGACTATTTCCATTTGTTATTTTAGCGGACGCATCAAAAACTGCACGTAGTTTCGTTGTTGAACTTGCTTCTCTGATTACAGCCTGATGAGGCATATAGTACAACCCTTCATTTTCATTTTCTGCTTTGACCATATGACCTTAACGTTCGTATTCTCGCATAAACTCTATGTATTCTGACTTAATTTCTTTCTTCATTTTCTTCTCTAGGTTGATTAGTCTTGCTACTGCTTGTTTTCTAGAATTCCCTAAAGACAATTCTTCTTTAAATGGGATTTGCACCATGAATCTACCGTCTGTATCTCTTGTTGTAGTTGTTTTATATAGTTCTTGACATTTTTCATCTTCTTGTAAGTTTGTGTTGTTTTCATCGTCTATTTCCCAAAATCGCTCTAAATTTAAATCTGATATTGCTTGATTTTTTATTGTATTTGTTGGTAATTGACCAGATATTATCCACCCAAATATAGTTTCTTGTCCGACTACATCGTTATATTTTTTAATACCTTCTTTTATTATTTTTGGATAAAGATCGCTTTCTATTATTAAATCAATACGATCGCTTTTATTAAATTCAGGATCTGCCAACTTATAAGTATCCCAAACAGCGTCTTCAACTTCTATTGGTTCTTCTGGCAATAATTTTATTAGATGGGATATCACCAAAAATTCTCCTTTAACTTTATTTTTATTATTGAATCTCGATGATATTTCCATAAATACTTTTGAATTCGATGTAGTCATGTTTACATTAGATAGTCCTGATAGTTTGGTTTTATATCTAATTTTCTTTAACAATAATGAATGAGCTATTTTTTCTGATACCATAGATACTTGTGAGCCTTGATCAATCAAAGCTCTCAATTCATGATTATCTCCATTTGAAGATTTCGTGCTGATTAATACAGTTGGGAGTAGAGTTATTTTCTTCTTGTCTTTTTTTTTTATTGTGGAGCAGGTTTTCTCGTCTTTATTAGTTTTCGTGTTGACTCTAACATTTTTTTGATTGTAATCCATGTGTAAAAGAGAATTATGAGCTTTATTACATTTTTTGCATCTGAACATAGAGTAGCATTTACTGCGATTATTATGACTTAAACATGTTTCACATAGTTGTTTATTACGTACTATCGTTGTTCGCTGACTAACTGACATGTTCAAGAATTTGCTGCAATTATACATTCGATGTCCTATTTGATTACAACATTGGCATCGCATGGAAGTTTTGAGTTTTTGAAACGTATGTTGGAGTAATTGAATCTATTCTTGTGGCTTTCAACCTATTTTGAGCTTCAAGAGTTTGGAATTGTTGTTCTAAAAATTCAAATACATCTTTTAACATCTGTATCTGCCTTGGTTTTTTAACGTGCTGTTCGTATAATTGTATACCTTCTTTATCTAATTTTCTCAAAATAATGTGCGCAAATAATTTGTCACAATTAGATTTAATATCATTATCTGAGTTAAATTCAATCATCTGAATGCATTGTTTAGCTGTATCATGTGAAGTTTTTAAGCTTGTAACTGATGATGAGTTAATTGTTTTCATATCAAGTAACTTATCGAACTGTTGTGAGAAATTCAACCGTTTGTTCTCATATCTTGTTTTCAGTGTATACCAAGCAGTATCGTAGTATGACCCATTTAATAGGTGGCTTATTGCCATACGTGCTTCTCCTTTTACATGGGATCTTAAGTAGTCTAATTTCATTGAAGATGATAACATATGATTATAGTGTACTTAATCTGTGAATAGATCTACAAAATTTTGCCATTCTTCAAATTTACCGTAGAAATCAGGTAATCTTGTAGGAGGTGTTTCAATTTGTCTTTGCACAGTGGGTTGAATTATTTGCTTATTGGATTCATCAGTAGCTTTAATATTTAATATTATTTCAATTTCGCTTTTAAGTGTTTTTAGTTTATATATTTTTTGTAAATGAATAGTTTGCTCGTCATTTAATTTTTCTAATATAAGTTGTAGATCTTCGTAGTATTTTTCTATTGTTTGTATTAATAAATTTCGTGCATAAGTATCAGGAGTATTATGTAACATACGATGAACCGTTCCTTCTAATTTTTTGATTAAATGTACCGGCATCTCCCAATTTTCGTCAGTTTTTTTTATTATAATTTCTGATTTGTTTGTTACTAATATTTCTTCTGCATCTTCTGATTTGTCTTTCTTTTTGGTCTCTGTTACTAATATTTCTTCTACATCTTCTGATTTGTGTTCTTCACTTTCCATATTTAATAAATTTTTTACTCCAATATATTTTTCTCTCGTTTCGTTATATAATGCGTCATTAAAATATGGTATATCTTCTATTCCCAACTTATTTAATTTCTTATCGTTCTCAGAAAAATTTTTTCAATCTTCTTCTAATACTTCTAAAGCTTCAGTTTTACGATTCCTAGTTTTTATTTGTTTAGCTTGTTGTATGAACTTTTCTAACTTTTCTATTAGCTTATATTGAGCTGTTAGTAAGTCTGTTTGAATTGCTGTTATTAGTCTCATTTCAAAAATAAATATTATAATTTTTAGAAATATTTTTTATTTGTCTTTATTATTTTTAAGTTTTTTTTATTTTTTCTTGAATTAATAACCTGTCTTCTTTATTTGTTTGAAGATGTAATTGCTGATACAGAAGTGCGAACTTTTTTCTCCTTTGGAATTCCTTCTCTGCCCGTTTTCTTTTCTTCTTAGCTGGAGGTTTTGGACTTGGTAGTCTTATTGGTTTTTCCCTCTTTCTATACTCCTCTATGGTAAGCCGTTTCGGACCTTGGTTTTTAATTACACTTGGCGTGTATTTCGGATAGAAATGATGGCGTGCTGGATTTGGATCATATTCTTCGATCTTTCTCAATTTTTCTTCTTGGTTCATCTAAAACATGAGAAAAATGTATATAAATTTCCTATTTATCCGACAAAAAGAAGAAACGTCCTAATTTCTGGCCTGGAAGATTTTCCTAAGTACCTTTTTTTCCTAAAGGCTGTTAGGTTCAGCCAATGTTATTGGGCGTTCTTTTCGAACAGCCAAGGCGTTATATCTTTAAAATCTTAGCTATTTAGCTAAAATAATAAATCCTTTCTTATTATAATCTTCCTTAATGAAAGTTATAACAAAAAAATTGTTTAGTCTTAATTGACCTTTTTTTTGTTTAGGCTAGCTTAGAACTAGGCTCTAAATTTATTTTATTATTTGTTCTTATTGAACTTGTAATTTAGAGTTTGTAAGGCTCTAAATTTATTTTATTATTTGTTCTTATTGAACTTGTAATTTAGAGTTTGTAAGGCTCTAAATTTATTTTATTATTAGTTAAGTGTCTTACCGCTGGTGGGGGATCACTTTAACTAATTTAATATATTTTTCTTTCTTTTTAGGAAAGGTTTAATATTTTCTTACAAGTGTCTTACCGCTGGTGGGGGATCACTTGAAGAATTTTATTGTATATTTAGCCAATTTCCTTGACTTCGAAGGACCAAAATGTCAAATAAAAGGCTTGAGTATTCGTTTGATACTGATTTATTTCTTAAAATACTACGGTTTATATACACAATTTTTGTCTTAGAAATTAAGGGTGAAATAATCTTACTCAGCATGTGTTCAATGTTATCATTAACAATATTGCATTTGTTTTTAGTGGACTGTATTTTCTGGTTCTTACAATTTACATTAGTGATAAAAAAAGATTTTAGTGCTACACATGCTCATATGCTATTTTGGTATTATTTGTTTAGAATTAATTAAATCTATCTATATTTATCTTTACAATCCCATGCAGAGACGCCTTGATGGCATTTGTTACAATAATGATAAATATAAATTTGTTATTTAAGTTTTATGTAAGCAATGTGGAGAACCTATTATTTACTTAGGTTCAATTATCAATATGATTACAGTTGTTGGATTGCTTATTTTTACTTTTGTTGTTCTGGAAAAGTATTTTATGATTTTATTTCTCTTTATTCAAATAACAGATAAAGCATGTTCATTATTGAACATTCTGCCAGAACTCTTAAATGCAGAGTCATGTAAAGATCGAATTAAATAAAATATA